GGAAAAAAGGAAGACCATTTCAAATATCTCACCTCCTATGGTTATCGTTGGAAGGTGTGTGTAGGAGGGCGATATTCCAACAAAACGAATTAGAAACATGTACGTGAAATATAGATGCTTGAAAAGGCATAGACATAAAAGCCTTCTAATTAACCTGCTATCGCTCTACAACAGAGACCTTTAGCCTTTTAATTCTAATTAAAATAGTCAAAGGGAAACAATAAAAAAAAGTGTTTTTTCTTGAGCAAAAAGGAAAATTACTTCGCATGTGTTATGATTGCCAAATGAGTTTAAAATATCGGTTATGAAAGCTTCCAGGTCTCATGTTTCAAATGACATGACTTTGTATTAAATTCCTTAAACTAGAAATGTCAATTCCTTTCTCGTTTTTCGATATATACTAAAGTGGATGCCTTTAGATATCCCGGCTGATCCTTGTCCGAATGCACTTCTTAGAGGGACCATTTTGGTCAAAGTAAAAACGGAGGTCTGTATACGATTATTTCCGATCAGGTTGAATCTATTTTTTTATTCTTTAATATAACTGAATTAACTCTGGTAACACGTAACTAAAAAGAAAGTAATTTGAGCCTACCCAAAGACAAACAACTGCAACTTTGTTACCCACAAGATAAATACCTTTATTTTTTCTTAGGTTTATTTATTTCCTAAGTTTTAAGTTTTAACGTTGCACTCAAAATTCTTCCAACCACGACGTTTTATTTTATTTTATTTTTTTTTGGCTATTTATCCTTATTAAATAAAATTCCCAATCTTGACAAAATTTCCTGTTCATTATTTATACAACGGACACACACACACTCACATAGTCAATCTTAGAAGCCTGCCGCTGAAAAATACAGTTCTATGATAATTAAATTAAAACCAACCTTGACACGACCAAATAAAATACAAGAAATCTTCAAATGAATCTTTTGTTTACCACCAAAAAATCCCAAAATATATAATTTGGATATTCACAAAGTCTAGCACAAGGCCATTATACTATAAAACAGAATTCAACAGCCTATACATTGCCAGACGACTTTACATTTTTTTTATGTATGCAAGGAACATTAAACGATCTACCTAAACACGAAGCAAAATGACTTCATAATTCAGAATATATTCTGAGTCCTTCACGATATTTTTTTATGGCAACTTTACAATGCCCGTCCCCTATCTAAGTAACACATGGCATGTTGTATTACTAGATGTAGTGAGTTTAGGCCACGATAAAAGCTATATTGGCTGTAGAGGAAATACATAGTAGCAATATCAGCTGACGGGTGCATATAAAAAACCATACATTAAAAAGGAAACGCCTCTTTTATTTTCCTTCTCCTATGAGCAAAGTCACATACCCTATTTAATGGGGGTAGAGGATTACCCGTCCCCTTATCCTACTGGGTCTCTTAGTCCTCAATTATATGAGCAGACGCGACATGTGACTCGGTGCATCACTCCCATAATTTCTTTCTTGGGTTGATTATCCCTTCATTCAGAGTGCTAGAGGTAGGCATTTTCTAGGTTTTGGTGTTATCTGCCTGATTGTCAGGAATCCGAACCTTCGAGTAACCCCGAAGGAGGCTGTCCTATCAGCAGGTGTATAATATCGGGGATAATGTACTGCCATTTTGTGAATGGTTTCTGGACAGTGCAGTGGTCTCCGGTGGGGCCTCTCGATGCCATGATGAAGAGTACTGCTACGACTGTATCTCTGGACGATTCTCTCTAAGGTATTTGTACATGTAACTCTTGCCAGTGCGCCTGTCTCTCCGCCTACCAGTCTTCCACCAATCCATGCACACATGAAACCAATCAAAATTCAAATGAACAAAACTATCAAACCCAACCAAAAAAATAAATAAATAAATAAATAAATAAAAATTAAGTAGACCTTTCGTATACCATCTCCAACACCAATGTGAGGGGTCTAAGTTCAAACTTTCCAGAAGTGGAACACCATTTTCTCCAATCTTAACCCGATTGTGCTACTTTCTGCAACCGGGATCAACGCCTCATGCGCACTAGGGGAGTTTACAGTCACAGGCTACTCACCTCTCATAGCCAAGACATAACCACCTAAATTGTCACGCCCACCGAATCGAAGCCTACATCAGGGACAAGTTTCCCTGTGGTAGGGACGTCAACCCCCCCCCCCAAAAAAACAGGAAATAGATCTCCCATATATATGCTTTCACGAGGCACACAACCATAGTACCACATATGTGTTTGCTCTCTAATGTCTTCATAACGAAGGATCGGTAACCGATCGAATATCTGAGAAGATTGATAATATCCCCACTCAATTCACCTCGGGAAGCTTTCATATCTGCGGTGACTTCAATATTTACCATAAAGAGTGGCTAGTCCACTCCAACAAAACTGATGTTGAAGGTAGTTATTTCAGAGACTTCTCCATCGCTTATGCACTAACACAGATCATCGGAGAAACTACCCGGGTCCCGGACACGGCTTCTCGACTTTTTCCTAACCTCCTGCCCTGATAAATGCCTATCAAAAGTTTTACCTCCACTATGCACGTCAGACCATTCCCTAATCGGTGGCCAGATTGATGACAAACTTAAGACATCTACTGATGTACCGATTTTTCGCCTCGCGAAGGCAGACTAGGACAACTTTCGATTCTACATGATCGAAACTCCCCTCCCAAACTTCTTCAAGCATGCTGCCTCAAAAACTGCTGCCCTGTCACTGATTGGATCCTTTCCGGAATGGAGAGTTTTATACCCCCACCCAAAATCCAGCAAAATCCAAACAGTCAATCCTAGTTTAACCCGGAATGCGCTACAGCCAAAACTCACCGAAACCACTACTTCAATATCTATTGCAAGGAGCGAAGTAGTTCGGCCCGCAATGTATTCAGAACTGCCTTCAATCGCTGCAAAATTTTCTAGAAAACGCCAAATGCAGCTACGCACGAGCAGTCCAGACCAAGGTTGAAAAGAAACAACTTGGATTCCGTGAATTCTGGAAGATCACCAACCAAATCATGAACAGAGGTAAAACGGCAGTGCCCAAAATTGTAAATGGCCCCGAGGTCAATTCTTCCTCGACAGTTAAAGCGAACCTCTTCACCTCCATTTTTGCCTCTAACTCAACGTTAGATGACAATGACCATCCCCTCCCCAGGTTCCCACGTCTCACTGAGCACAATTTCAGTAATATTACCATCACTATCAAAAACTATCAAAATTATCAAAGATGACCCTAAAAAAGTGACCGGTCCAGACAAAATTCCAGTGGTTGTCCTTAAGAACATCAAACCGGAATTATTCCCAATCCTAGCAAAGGTATTCAACCACTGCTTGAAGCAGAAATCCTTCCCAAAGCTTGTGAAAAGTGTCAAGCGTACGTCCGGTTTTCAAGAACGTGTCGTGTGATCTTCCCACTCCCACTACAGACCCATCAGTCTCTTCAGTATCATCAGCAAACATTTTGAGGCCATAATCAATAAGAAGGTCGTTGATTACTTAGAAAAGAAAAAAAAATCCTCCAGCAACGAGCAGTATGGGCTTCGATCTGCTTCATCCACTATCGACATCCTAACATCACTCACAGAATCAGTGAGGCTCTCGACGACAAACACTCCAAAGACCATAGCACAATGAAAAGGCCTTTGACAAGGTGTGGCACAAAGGCTTACTACACAAGCTCTCCAGTTATAGAATCATTGGAAGGGTCTCGATAATATAATCCTTCCTAACAGGTAGGTCCCAGAAGGTAGTTATCAATAACCAGTCCTTCGGAGGTCAACGCAAGCGGCCTCTCGCACCAACCCTCTTTTTGATTTACATAAACGATCTGCCTAAGAATATACTGAGATCATTTGTAAACATCTATGCCGATGATACGACTATATACGAGTGTACCTCTAAAATTCTCGATGGTCAGGGATTGGCGACTGATCTCTCTTCCGATCTTGCACAAATTACACAATTGGGTAGTTACATTCAATGCATCGAAGATTAAGTTAGTAACATTCCATTATCGCCGATCTGACCGCGAACTACCACAGGATAAACAGAGGTCCTCTCGGGGAAGCACCATGCCTTGAAAGACTGTTGAACCTCAAACTCATACCCGACCTCAAGTGGAACTCATACATACGATCCATTGCTAAGAATGCAGGTAAAATGGTCGGCTGTCTGTACCGCACCAGTAAGTACCGGACTCCTACTGCTATCCTCTACCATTAAAAGAGTCAGATCAGGGCAAAAATGGAGTACTTTTTTCATATTTGGACGGGAGCTACCCAGATCTCGCCCATCAGACTTGATAGAGTTCAAAAGCATCTCCGAGCCATTGTGGGTGACGAATTATTATCCAACCTCCAACCTCTCTCCCATAGGCTCTTCTGCTACTTCCACAGAAAGTACTTGAATGAACTACATTTCCTGCTCCTGCCAAGGCAAACCTTCATGGCAAAAACACGCCATGCCACTTACATAGCAGTAAACCACCCACATTCCGTCCGTATTCCATCGGTGAGAAAAAAAAGTTCCACTCGAGCAGCGGCCACGAAACATTACCCCGTAGAACCGACTCCCAGCAGAATGTTTCCCCAATTACTACAACCTTAACCTGTTCAACGCTAGGGTGAAGCATTACTTTCCACTCCTATACACACAAATGACTTCCAAACGTAAGCCTCTACCTCGAGTGGCTCCAGGGCCTTGTAAAGGGTGAACCTCACTTTAAAAAAAAAGAAAAGAAGACGAGATCCTCTCCAACAGTAATTTTCTTTTTTCAGAAATGTAGGTATTTAAACTCGGACACTTTTGTTAACGAAAGACGTACCACGAGCAGGCTTTTATTATTATGGAATAATAAAAAAAAAAACAGCCTGTCATCTTCTTCCGTTCCGTATCGTTTTGGGTGGTACATAGATACTTTCTCAGTAAAGATCTACCCCATTCATAGATTAAATGATACCAACAGCAAATAATAACCTTCTGACCCGATTCTTGAGAAAAATGGATTCATCATGCCTTTACCAAAAGAAAAGTGTTAGAACGAAATGGACAAAATTAATTCTTAACTTTCTATGCTGATTTTAACCTCGTCCAGTCTCGCATCTCCACCAAACACGAAAACGGAAGCAAAGTTTACAATTTTTAGCACCGTTGCGTTCTCGTAGATAAGATAGATCGGGCTGAATCAGAAAGTTTATGTTGTTACCGTTTTGAGCATCCGTAGTGTCTATTTGAAAAACGTCAGCGCTCACTCACAAACCACGTGACTAGCACGTTCAATTGGGCTACGCTTTTGTTGCTGTTCAAGAGGACGGACAGCGAACGGACTTATCCAGTGGCGGCCAATATTTCAGGTCAGTGTTTTATGTATTGTAACTGGGTGCTGCTTCTTTTTTCGGTTTGCACAAACGAAGTTTGACCTTCCCTCTACTCTGTGGTCATCCTATGAGGGAACGATTACGGTATTTTCTTGTAGTCTACCCACTTCTTATTTTTATTTTTATTTTCGTGTTGCCTTTCATTTGACAATGGAGCTTTAAGTGTTGAGTAAATGGCCCCCGACCTGTCACTGTTTATAGCTTGTCACTGGCTTTCAGGAAGCACGTACGCGCATTTTCTGAATTGTCAAGTCTTAAAAAAAAGGAAACGGTCCATATGTTAAATAATAATAAATAATTCCTGTGTTGCTGAGGGAAAGAAAACGAATATTAAGCCGGTAGTTTTTTTTATTTTTTTATTTTGAGAGCTTATTTTCACTTCTTTGTCATTGTTTTTATTTCATTTTCTTTTAATAAAGTTCTGTAATTTTTACAAAATTATTTAACCTCTACCAAAATGTCTCTTAGTCTTCTTACTACTCTTATTTTTTATTTTTTAAACGATACTAGCATTTCTTTTGTCTTCTCTAAAAGTAAATACTCCCTATCTTTTTCTAGTCTCAAATAATATTTAAATTTATAATATTTTAAACCTAAAGCGGTATTTTTATTTTATTTTATTTTTTTTTAAATATTGTTGAAAAAAATAGCCCACCGGAATGTCCTACACTCTATCCTGAGAATCGTTACCACGATTATATAAACTAAGAGGTCTGTTCAAATTTAGGGTTTTCTATTTCTGTTTCTTAGTAATTTGGCAAATACGCTAATGAATGAATTAAGGAGGTTCGTGTTGTCTAATGTCATACGTGTACTGTAAAAGTATTATTAATCTAGTTTAAATTTTTAAGAGGGGACGCTCAGAATTTAGACAAGGTTATTCTTTCTAATAGCAGTCTTTTTATTATGTGTAATGTTGCGGGGAGCCTCTGGTATTCTAGGGTGACTTCAGTAAAAGGACTGTCAAAAATGCTCACATAGGTACTCGCTATAAGAAGCTTGATGCCGATACAATTTTCTTTCTTTATCTACTGGTCAGTCTCTTTGTACTCGTAAGGTTAAAGCAAATGTATCCGTTCTACAGTCTTTTATTTTTTTTATAGTATACTTTTTGGTGCTTTTAAAAGTAGGTAGAATTTTAAAGTGTTAGTTAGTTGAAGGCATAGTCGTACTACTACAGTACACAATAGAATACCGTTGTTGCACGGTTAATTCTTGCCTCCAGCGTTGTGTCAAAGACGTGAGGCCGAAAGATGCGAATATGTTAAATTCGCTGAATAGTAATAATGTATATAAAAAGGAGGGGGGCTCTTTCCTCGTTTGAATCTTTAGTCAGTGCGTGTGGTTTGTAGAAATGGTGCGTGCGTGCCACATATTAGCCAGTGGCAGGCAGTACTAGGCCAGCTGCTAATAGAAATGGGATGGTTTGTTTACATGACATTATTACACATGATGATATTGTCACAAGGACTTTCACACTGACGGCACGTAGGCATATAAGAACTTCACGTACCAACTAAATACACCCTTGTGTGTCAGACACGTACAATTTCACTGTTTTTTGTCTTTTTCTTTTCTTTTTAGTGGCTATGATTGGCTTTGAAAAAACATAGAATGTTTTAATTTTGTTAAATCTTTCTTTGTCTAGTTTCATTTTCATACAGTGAAAATGCTACTCAAAAAGAATAACGTATGTTATATTGTTAAAAAGGAATTTAAGTATTTCTGGTAGCATGACTCATATTATGAGTACGTGTTCATTTTTGTTTTTGTCAACTTTTCTCCTCTTTTTAGCTTGAAAGAGAAGGAAGATAAAAACTTAATAAAAAAAAAAAAAATCAGAATTTTGAAGTTTTTTTTTTATTTTTTCTCAAAATATCAATTGTCAAGTTTGGTAACTTGGTCAAACTAAAAAACACCTAAAAATTAAAATGCACTTAGTGTTTTTCTTCAATGATCCTTTCGACTTTTTAATCAAATAGTTTTTTTTTTTTTTGTATATTCGCTTCGCATTTTGTGTTGAAAAAAAAAAAAACCCTTTCAGTAATAAATGCTTCCTCTAAATTAGGGAAATCGTTTAAAAATTATAATCGTCTTTGTAACCTATGCGATATTGTTTTTTTAACACCGTAAAGGACAATGACGTTGAAGTGAATAAAACTGGGTGGGGGGGGGGAAGAATGTCAGGACTTTTCTCTTTTTCACTCACCAGCCAATTGGTAACTACTAACCAAAGCTATTTAGTCAAGAACAGTAAGGCATTGACCGTGGATTTAAAATAATAAAAAAATATTCATCTCAGGTGTAAATAATAATAATTCCTATATGACTGTTCGTTGTTTCACTTGTCACCCTTTTTGTGCAAAGCATTCTGGGTTCTCTTGTCTTGCAGGTACATAGACAATTTCTCTTCTAACGTACCTTGTGTCAGGGCCTTTCCTTAATTATGCTCTTGGATTACTTACAGTAATTTATGTTATTAAAAAGCTCAAAGGCAATTACGATATCAGCCGTTTCCAACTTAAATGTAATTTGAAATTCCCCTCTTTTTTTTTTTTTTTTTTTTTTTGAAACGGGTTGACATTGTAAATTTTCAGTTGACTTTTTTTTCTAACTATTTGTGCTCCTTTTTCTGCTTTGCATTCATTAACTTAATGAATCGAAATGTAGAATTATTATTACGATTACTTTTTTCTTTTTCGTCAATGCAAATGAACCTTGTAAATAAAGTTGAATTTTACTTTTCCTAAAGTGATATTTATTGATAATTTATGAAAAGAAAAACTCAATTTTTTGGCCTATGACTATGGAATCCAAATCAATTTATTATCGAATAAAATATAAATCCAATAATTGTTGCTTACGTTTGGTGTCGAACTTTAAGAATATCGTATTCTGAATATGCTTCTAGTGTTCATGTATTAATCTCACTTTATGTTCTTAATTTTCCAAATATTAAGTTAAAAGCAAGCAATCTTTTTTTTCTCTTCTTCCTTTCTCCCAAGAGATTCTCTATAATTACGAAGTGAATTTTTAATTTTGGAAGCAACAGAAAAATTTATTTCATTTTTAAGCCGTTTGAAACTACGATTAAATTAAATCTTCATTATAATAATAATTATTGAAATCGAAGCGATTCTTAAAAATGAAACTAAAATATATTTGACCGGATGACCTCTTTTATTTTCCTTTTTGTTTTTTCTCTCTCTCTCTCTCTCGCCCTAGTAACTGATTAAAACTGGTTTTTTAATGCTTTACTTCCGTGTCATACGCAAATTTGTCTTAAATTAGGCGATGAAGACCCTTTTCCATTTAAATAAGTGGATTCGTCGTGTGAAGAAGGTCACAGTGAATGACACTAACTAAAAAAGTAGTAAAACTGATAGTTCGTGACTGATTCGCATTTTTATTTAAAATCTTATTTGTATTTTTTTTTTTTTTTTTTTTTTTTTTTTAAATTTACATAAGTTGAATTTGTCTATAAATTTCAGTAATTTTATTTTCTAAGCACCCGGAAAAAACAAAACAAAACTAAGTAGGAAAAAGTTGGTGACGTCTTTTAAACCGTTTCAACTCTTGCAGTGTCAAATGTCATATTTTGTAAAAAGTAGTATAGGAGATCGATTTCTTTTGTTCTTTGTCTTTCAAGTAAAAACTCAATGAACGAACGAAAAATTATTTTAAAAAAATTAATTTTTATCTTAAAAAAAAAAAAAATTCAATGGAGAATTTTATTTTTTCGTTTTGAATTTAATTTGGTTTTAAAGAGAAATAAGGAACGAATTCTATTCCTTGATTGAACAATGAATGAATAAATTTAAAATCCTCTTGCAATCTGTTTATAGTTTTTATTTTAATAAAATTCTAAATATCTCTGGTGTCGCTTTCATTTCATACATCATATCCAGATGTCGATGTAGTGCGCCAATCACATTTACATGCAGATTTTATTTAAAATAAATACATCTCTACCAATTGTAAAGTAAAAATAATATATATCTAGCTAGCTAAAGAGTACACTAGTACTTACTAGTGCTGCTATTAATTAGTGGCAGCTTGATACGTATTTACACAAACCTGCAGAAAATAATACACAACACACGTTTTACACGCATGTGATGTCGACTTGATATCTGCTCTTCTTTGTTTCCTCACTTCGGGTGGCATTCTCTTTCTTTGGCCTAGACAAGCTGCCAATTTTTTTTTTTTTTTTTTTTAAGTTTTAACTCTTATTTTGACGACACTTTAACAGGTTTTAAATTAGAAGAATCCGTAATATGGGTGATTTATAATAATTAAACAAATTTCAGGCTCAAATCTTTGTGTGTGTGTGTAGCGATTGTCATTCATTAAAGTTTGATGTCGGATTTTGTAACGAATGGAAATTTGTTTTGAGATTTTCGCGGTCAATTTTTTTCTCTCCATCTTTTTTAAAAGTTGTCACCTTGAATTTTTTTTTAAATTTTTTTTCAGACGATGATTTTTGCTAGCAATTGAGATTTTATTTGACTAAATCCTGAAAAAAAAAACCCACAAAAAACAAACAATGAATCCAACTTTAATAATTCGTGTTTTTTTTTTGTTTTTTTGTTTTTTTGTTTGTTTGTTTCATCGATTTTTATCTCATATCTTTTTTTTTCCTCCTTGCCTCTAAGTTCCCCCTTCAGTTCTTTTGATGGCACTTTTTTTTTTTTTTTTTTTTTTTTTTAAATTGCAAGTTTGTCTAAGTAAGAACAAGCTTATTTCTTTTCTCTTTTTTTTTTTTTTTTTTTTTTTAGTGCATAAAAATACATTTTTCAATGAATTCATTTGGAAAAAGTACTTAACCTAGAAATACCTTAGGAAGGAGTAAAAAAAAAGTGACTTGGTGTTTCGGAGCAAAAGAAAAAAAAATTGAATCTGCCGCCTTTTGTGTTTCGTTGGTTTTTAAAAAAAAAAGTTGGGAGAGATTAAAATTAAATCACTACGGTGGTTGC